TAACCATCTTGAATACCATCTCCCTGGTGCCTTCTCTCCAGGCTGAACAACCCCGACTCTCCCAGCCTAGCCTCCCAGCAGAGGGGTTCCACCCTCAGGTCATTGCTGCGGCCTCCTCTGGACCCACTCCAACAGGTCCCTGTCTCTCCTGTGCCACGGACTCTATGCTAGTAGTGGTCATTCACAGCATCGAAAAATCACCTTGGGAAGGATCTGAGCACCCCCAGGGCTGTGCCCCAGGTACTGCCAGCCCTGAGGACAGGGAAGCAGCAGCTTTTGTGATAAAACGGCTTTTTCTCTGTGGCTGGAGCTGGTGAGCATCAGGCATTGCCTGCTCGGGCAGCAGCAATAGCAAAGCCCAGCCAGAACAGCCCCAAACAGCCCCGAAACTCACCCAGCTCTGCAGATGAGCTCTGGGCAGCAGCTACCACTGGGGACGGTGTCCTGGAGAGTCTGGCGGAGGGAGGCCCCGTGTCCTTGCTGCCATCACAACTAAAAGGGGTTATTTTGTGATACTCCACCAGCAAGCTCGTGCCAGGTCCTTTCCCCTGCTTTGCTGTGGGAGGGAAGGTGCTCATCCCCCACGGGAGTGGGTCCCAGGCTCCCACTGCCACCCCCACGATTATGGAGCCATTATTTGCTGGGGCAACTGGGTCAGACCCAGCCCAGACCCTCTGGAAGAACAAAAAGCAAAAGCTGCATTTAGTAAATTAAAACTGTCTACTACCGAGCAGCTTGTTGTAGACAAGGGGGAATATGCAAAAAGCTCTTGTTTGAAACCTACTAAATATTCCCATGTGCTGTTTATAGGAAACAAATGGGGAAGGCATGTGCACCAATAAACCCGAACGGGGCTGGAGTGGGACTAAAGCCTCTCCACGGCTCTAGGTTATTGAATACCCTCTGCTTTCATGTGGTGCCAGGCCTGACCCCTGCACACATACCACGGAGGGAGCAGTTGACTTGTGGGAAGAACAGACGTTCCTGGTGAGGGGTTTAAGCTGGCAGGAGCAGTGGGGAGGCAGCCCCTGTACCTGTGTGGTGCTGGAGAGGGTGCAGCAACCAGCCGCAGGGTGGGAGCGTTGCCAGGGCACAGGGAGAGCACCCCCCACACTGTGCCTGGTCCCTGCCTGCCCACACCGGCCACTCGGGCACCCCACGATGGAACAACCAGACTCTGCATCACCCAGACCCTGTGCCACGGCCCAGCCCCACCAGGGGCTCCCAGAGCGATGGGTCGCCGGAGCTTTAGCTGCCCGCAGGGGGTGGAAGGAGCTTTTCCAGCCCTTGTCCTCATCCAGCATCATCACCTCCTGTGGGCAACTGGGGCTTTGGCTGTCCTGCACCTGCAAGAGCTGAAATCCTGCGTGTGACCTGCTAGGGTCACACCTGAGGATTTAAACCAGTTCACCTCCCCAGTGTGGGAACAACCTGGGTGCTGCTCCCAGCGCCACCCTCATCGCACCCTCACGCTGGCCTGGAGCCGGGCGGTGCCTCCTGCCCAGAGCTCCCAGCCCCACTCCTGCCACCCAGAGCAGGGGCAGGTGGCAGCCCTGGGCACCCTTTTGCAGACCCCATGGCCTGGCACCCGCGAAGGGGGCAGGGATGGTGCTGGGAGAGGAGCCTGGACGGGACGGGGAATCTCTCCGGGAGGGAGGAGTTTCCGGACTGGTGTCCTCAGTGCCGGGGCAGCTCCCACAGCTTTCAGCCAGATGTGCTTGGCTGGGTGCTGGGCACTCGCTGGGGCCATGGGAAGGATGTTTCACCCGTGAGAGCGTGCACACTGGGGATGGCAGCTCCTCAACAGGGCTGGCACAGTGCTGGTGGCCCCGAGCAGCCAAGGTGCAGGTGGTGCTGCTGCCATCCACTCGCAGCTCAACAAATGACCCCCTAGAGCTCTGCACGTGGTGGGTGTTCAGCCCCAGCCTCTCAGGGGGTTCCAGCCCCATGCCCCCACTGCAGCCATGCAGCACTGGGGCCAGGTGAGAGGATGGCCAGGGTGTGGGTTCCAGCCATGCACAGATCCACCCCTGCCCCAGGACTCCCAGCTCTGCCCAACGTGACCCAGCATCTCCCTGTGCTTGGCACCACGTGGGTACCAAATGAATGTGTTCTCTGCTGATAACATTCTGGCAAGTCTGGGTATGTGGATGCTGTTATAAACCTTCCCAGGCCCTGGGTCCAGCTGAAAAGCACATTCAGCTGACCCGGGAAGCATGGGCAGCTTGCAAAACCCTTCCCCAAGGCACAGCCATGCTGCAAAACCCCTGCCCTGGCCCAAGAGTGCTTTCCAAGGCTGGGAATGCCCGCTGGCAGCAGCACAGGGTCAGGGCAGCCCCTTGGCGATGCTCCTTGGCATCCATCCTCTTGCAGCACCCCTTGCCAGGGTCGAGAAGGAGGAGGAGGAGGAGGAGGTATCTGCAGTTCCTGTCCTCAGGCCAGGGGACACGAGCCACCCCAGCAGCGCTGCTCGGAGCTCTGCCACATTTTGGTGGCGTTTGGTATTTTGTGCAAAGGCAAGGAGGCTCCATTGTTCCTCTGTCATTGTTTCGCGTTTCCTAAGCGGGGCAGGCACCCTCCTCCCACGCTCCCTGCCCGGCTGCGGAGCCGATC